AGTCTCCCAGCATGTACTCCCAACGCAGGCAATTCCGAGGCTTCATTGCTGCCTCCCAATGTCAAGGGCAGACACTGCTCACTCATGTTCCTTTCCAAGCCCTCAGCGCAAAGGGATTTATGAAACACCAGGCTCCTCAAGAGTCCTTGAGCAGGGGCTACGCTGGATCATGGCCTAATGTGGCTCAGAAAATTATACCACTGCTAAGTGGTTTGAGCAACTATTTCATGAAACATGTACACATTTGCACCTGTGCGAGTGTGTAAGCATAAACATGTTTAATTAGTCATTATTATAGAATAATAGATGGTTACTACTACTACTACTACTACATCACCTTCTAAATCAGTCTGAAGGCAATTTTCACATAAGATAATAAACACAATTAAAACCACAAAACCAACAGATATGTTTAAGGCAAGACTAAAAGTCCAACAAGTGGATCCTTGTGGCAAAGACCCATTCATCCAGCTGGGAAAGGCCTGTTGGAACAAAAGCATCTTCAGTTGTTTCCAGAGAAGCTGCGTCTCAAGAGGGAACGGGGTAGCCACACTAAAAGCCCTGCTGCAAGTTAGCGCAGAGTGGACTTCTGAGATCTTTGGAACGTGCAGGAGAGACCCACAGCCATGTATTTTTGAAGTAGCAAAAAGTATGACCCATGGCTGTCTCACAGCCTATATTATCCCTGAATCAAGAGATTACCTGCTTGGTTATACAGCTGACTTTAAAAACTTGGTCAGGATGCATCCCTCTCCCCAACTTAACTCTCTCTCCCTTTTTTAAAACAGACTCACCTTAACTGAAGCAGATATTGAGACTGCAATTATGGGAACATCTCCTCGGCAAGACTTGGAAGCTCAGCCCAATGGGCTTGAATTACTGAAAATTAGCAAGGCTAATTTTAATGTCACCATTCAGCCAGGCTCATGATTTGCAATTTCTTAATGGCCTTCGCAAAAGGAGCCTTTATATATGGCACAATCTTGGCTTCATTCTTACCTAAATTCCTTCTCTTAGGTCCTGTGAATGGGCCTGTTTTGTAGCCAACACAAACTTTGTCCAGTAAAATAATGTAAGGGACTCGGAATGAAAGGAGCTTAGCTGTTCCTTTGCTCCTGTTATTTTAAAGCAGAAATAACTTTGGTTTCTCCCGAGCCTGGAGACAAAGCCCTGAAGTGCAAAGCATGCTCAGCTCCTCAGCTCCCCATGAAAAGGGCCTTCAAATATTCGCTAGGACAAGTAATGGACTTATTAGAGGGATGAAAGGAGGGGCTTTTCAGAGAGAGAGCCCCTGCGCTTTAGTCCTGTCATATCAATGATCTTGCTTCAGAATTTCATTCTGTTTACATTCCTCTCCCCCCTCCCTTTTAAAATTCCCCCTCCGCCTCCAGCAGCATTAAAAGACTGACACTTGTAAAAATGCTCATTTATGTATGTTAATGCATGAGGTGCCAGGCATTGTGCAACATCAACTGGAGAGGGGGGGAGGGGGGGAGAGAGAATGCCACGATAAAAAAAAGAGGTGGAGCAAAGCACTCATGCAACAGTTTCAAAAAGTGTGTTCCGTTTTATGAAGGAGTCCAATACATTTGCACCCTCCTATGGGCAAGGTCACACATTTAAAGAGTGGGGGGAGAAGCCTGATCTCACAAGTGACTAGCCTGTATCTGACATCTGCATAAACACAATGGGGCCTACCACTGCTGGGGGGATATTCCTCTATGCAGCCCCGCATGGCAATTTCACAGAAGCAAAGTGAGCTATTGTGCACAGGATATTTCAGGTTTGGAAAAGGTTCAGAAAAGGGCAGCCAAACTGATAAAGAGGATGGGGAGACACACACTCACCCCGTGCAGGGAAGTTGTAGCGCTTGGGACTTTTTAGCTTAAAGGAGAGCAAGATGTCGTGATGTAAGTTTATAAAAGTGTGCATAGCATAGAGAAGCAGACAGAGAAGGCTGATAGAGAAAGTAGATGTACCATGAAGCTGAACGTTGGGAGATTCAGTGAGGCATATGGAAGGAAAGCACATCTCCGCACAGTGGAGCAATGGAACTCGCTCCACAGGAAGCAGTGATGGGCACCATGTAAGATGGCTTTAAAAGGGCCCCTTCAGGGTTTCAGACACTGGGGGCGGGGAGAACCATTGCCAGCTATACCTGGAATTGCACCTGGAGTTTCTGCAAACAAAGCTGATGCTCTGATGCTGAGTGACAGTCCTTTCCCTTTCAAGTTCCCCAGACAATTGCATATTCCAGTGGCAAGAAGATCTTGGTACCTGGGGAAGTTTTGATCTGACCTTCCCTGTGCCTGATTTTTCTTTTCCAACCATAGCATGCTAAATGTGGCATGGAGGCCATCTGTGTGTGCCGTGGGCAACACACAAGCATTGAAACCTTGTGCATCAAAGCATGCTGCCTTAGAGGCTCCCTTTGTTTCCCAGCCTGGATGTTTGTGGAATAATAAATCTGGATTTCAAGTGGGGTTGGGAGGAGAGAGAGCAGGGCAAGAGTGGGAACGCCAGTCACCAGAATTAGCTCCCTATTCAAAAGTCACATCATCAGGAGAGTGAATGTGAGCACACAATGTGGCGTCCGCTACTGGCTATTTCCAGCATCTGGCAAGGACGTGTGCTTCTGGACCTCTGGCTGCTCAGACACTTCTTTCCATCTGCTTTTCTGGATGACACCATCTCCCCTCCGAGGCTGATGGAACCAATCGCTAAGGCACAGGTGCCAGGCAAACCCAGACCTCTCCAAACTCCTAAAAATCCCTGCTCCAGAAAACAAAAAGGTGTGCCTTTTATTCTTGTTTACAAAAATATCCTACCTTTCTTCAGGGAATGCACAGAGCTCTCACCCCCCTCCATATTTTATTCCCACAACAACCCCTATGAGGCAGCTTAGGCTGGGAGACTGTGGTTGGTCCAAGGTCACCCAGTGAGCTTCATGGGTGAGGAGGACCTGGAACCTGGGTCTCCCAGGTCCTACTCAAACACTATTGCCACCACTCCATTCTAGCTTGGAGCAGCAGCAGATGGCATGGTCTCCAAAGTGCAATGCAGAAGGTCTCAGGTTCAATTCCTGTCAGCATCTGCAGATGGGGCTGGGAGACAACCCTGTCTGAAAATCTGGAAAATACTTGAGTAGATGGACTGATGTTCTGGCCCAGTCTAGGGCAGCTTCCTATACAGCACAACCCTGCACTGAAATCAACTGAGGGGGGAGCTCCACCTCTCCATCAGAGTACACAGATCAAGGGAAGTGGGTGGTTTTGCTTCCTGAGTGCCACAGTGTGGTTTGTGGTTAGAGAATCAGACTAGGACCTGGGAAACCAGGGTTCAAATCTTCACTGGGTGTGACCTTGAGCACAGTCAATGTCTTTCAGTCTAACCTACTTCACAGGGCTGTTGTGAGGAAAGATGGGAGAAGACAATATTATGCACACCACCTTGAGCTCCTTGAAGAAACAGGTGGGATAGAAATGGAACCAACAAACAATATGGAATTCTTCTTGTTCATGTATTGACTTTATATCCTATGTTTCCCCCCTCCCCAAAGGTGCTCAAGGTGGCCTACATGGTTTTCTCCCTCTCCTCATTTAATCCCCACAATAATCCTGCGAGGGGGGTTAGCCTGAGAGAGGCAATGACTGGCCCCCCCAAGTTTGCCCATTGAGCTTCACAATTGAGTGGGGATTCAAACCCTAGTCTCCCATGTCCTGCCCCCCCAACACCCTTCCAAAGATTGGCTTTGACAGGAGTTTTACAAAATCTCATACAATATTCAAAGCAAAATCCTGTTTCATATGTAATAACCGTCAGCTCCAGCTACTTGAAATTAACTTTGTGCAGAAAAAAATATGACTGGTATGTTTGTGTGTGTTTAGCACTAGCTGCAATTTGTGCCTGAAAAGGCGACGTGAGACAGGCAGTATTTTTTTGTTGTTGAAAATCAATTTACTGTCTTTTGTACAACAGTTGCCCTCCAGTGTGATTTAGGGAGCACGCAATAACTCCCAGGGTACGTAGCTATGTTATGAGCTTTGCCTAACACAGAGGAGTTTTCTTGGGGGGGGGGTGGAGAGCAAAAAGTAAACAGCTGCAGTGAATTGATGGAGCTGAGAGAGAAACACAACATTGGGAGTGGGGGCAGAGGGAAGAGATATTACTGATATCCCGGTAATAAGCAAAAGTCCCACCAGGCAGCTTGAGCGGTATGGTAAATAGAAACAGGAAAAGGCTCTCCCCACTCTAACCCCCTCTTTGATAACAGCTGTTTGAAAGAGTGAGTTCCTAGAACAGGAAGCACCTTTCAGAGACCCAAAATAGCGGCAGTTGCAACCCCTCCCATGCCCAAAGTAAGGAGGAGGAGGAGGAGGGTGCACTTAAGCCAAAGTAAGGAGAGGCTGAAACAAGGTGCCAGACTCACTGCTGAATGCAGGCTTTGCCATCCTGGTGCCTTTTCAGATGTTTTACACTGCAACTCCCACCCCCCTGGCCACTGACTGTGCTCACAGGGTAGGATGAGTGGTTGCCAGGTTGTCAAAGGCTGCACCAAACTGCTTCAAGGCAAGGAGCAAAGGAAGTCTCCTTATACTGAACCAGACTAATGGTCCCTCCAGCTCAGTATTCTTCTTTGGCGACCCCTCGTAGCCAAGTAAGATTGTCTTCCATGAAAACGGTTTTAACCGTGAGTCTGTAAGTAACTGTGGAGGCCAATTGTGGATCCACACGTCCTTCCACAGTGGGGACGTTGGTTTCAGGCAGTATCATGGTGAGGGTTTGCCAAGCACGCCTTCCTCTTAACACGTTTCTCCCTTTTGTCCTGAGTTCAAGCATCTTCAAAGCCCCTTACACCTTTGGTCAAGGCTGTCCTCCAACTGGAGTGCTTGCAGGCCAGTGTTTCCCAGTTATCAGTGCTTACACTACATTTTTATTGTCTACAATGACTGGCAGAAGTTCTCCAGGGCTTCAGGCAGGGAGTCTCTCCCAACTCTTCCTGGAGATGTCAGGGATTGAACCTGAGACCTTCTGCATTCCAAGCAGGTGCTCTACCACTGACCTCTGCCTCTTCCCCACAAGGTCAGCCTCTGTTTTGGTCATACTACCACCAATGCTTTATTGATTGTATTTTGTGATGTTGTGTTGATTTGATCCTTACATGTTGTACTCTGCCTTATGAAAGTGCAGGTTATAAATTCAAAAAAATATAAAGCCATCAGTCTCCATCCCATTTTCAGCTATCTTGCCAGGAAATTGGTTCCTTGCTTCTTTTCAAGATTTATATACTTCCCAAGATTTATATACCACTTAACTATAACAAACCCTCAAATCAATTTACAAAAGTAATATAAGAATAAAGTAAAACAGTAAAAACAACAGTTTAAAACATTTAAAAATTATTAAAATCAAATATTAGCTGAAAACCAAATTAAATCATATATCACATATCTGTGTGGGCTTGTGAAAGCAAAAAAGCTTTTAACAGGCACAGAAAATAGTACAGTGAAGTCACCTGCCTGATGTCAATGGGCAGGAAGTTCCAGAGGCTGACTTCTTACAAATGGAGGGCAAGCCCTCTGCTGCCCTGCGACAGCACCAGTTCCACAGACTGAAGTGACTGAGTGGGTGCATGTGAGGGGAAGATGATCTTGCAGGTAAATGGGTCCCAAGGTGTTAAGGAACAACCTCACCTTTAAATTGTCCAGGTAGTTTGTTCATTTATTAGACTTCTACCCCATGATTCCTCCCAAAAGGGCCCAGGATGGCAAACAACAAAAAGTTAAAACAATATTTCTTTTTCCCAAAAAAGTAAAAAAGGCATTTTAACTATTTTGAAACAATTAAGAAAAATCTAAAAATACCCATAACTTCTAAACACATTTGGGAGCAAGCACCTACCCTCACAGCTGCTAATTTCAAGTATCGTTAAGTCACCCGGCACCTGGGTGAACAGGAACGTTCTAAAATTAATCCTGAAAAGTCAGAATGGACTTTGGCCAAGCAAACTAATCGTAAGAACCTGGTGTGTGGCTCGGTAGACTTTTGACAAAAACTCCAGGCTCAACATAATAATCAAACTCCATCTGACCACAAGACCCCATTAGGCCACATTTTTTTAGTTACTGGATTTATCTCTCACCTCGTTTCATAGTTGCCATTCTCTCCTCCCCATTTAATCCCCACAACAACCCTGTGAGGTAGGTTAGGCTGGAAGGCAGGGACTGGCCCAAGGCCACCCAGGGAGCTTCACAGCCAGGCAGGGATTTGAACCTTGGTCTCCCAGCTCCTAGCCTGACACTCTAACCTACTAAAGTTCTCACCCTGGGCCAGCAGGGGGATACTGTAGATAGCTATGCAAATAAGGGATTGAAAGTGACGCTCAGTGATTGGATAGTTTTAGAAAGTTGTTACAATTATGTGTACTGGAGCTCTATATAAGCAGGCTGACTGAACCCTTCAGTTCAGTTCAGTTCTGTTCTGGCCTCTGAGTAAACAAGAGCTGTTTGAAGAATCGCTGTGTCGTCTGATATGTTCACCCACAACTTAACACTGGCGACGAGGATGGGATTGATGGACATCAGAGCACAGCCAGATGCGGCCACCCTCTGAGCTGAGCTAAATCACTGAGCTGAAACACTGAGTGAAATCACTGAACAGAACCAATTCAGAGCTGACTGTTCTGGCTAGAGCACTGTGTTCCATCCATCACCCTCCATGCCGGCATCGGAATCATGGCTTCACTTGTGCCTCTACCGCCGTTTGCACCAGCCTCTGAATCATGGGACTCCTACCTCGCTCGGTTCGACTGCTACCTCCAAGCCAATGAGCTGACAGAAGTATCACAGGAGCAGAAGCGAGGCCTATTCCTCAGCCTCTGTGGGCACAAGGTGTTTGAGACGGCCCGAGCATGGCTTGGACCTGAAGCAATCCAGGCAGCACCGTGGGACACGATTCAAGAGAAGCTCTGCAACCACTACGCGCCAAAGCCGTCCAAGATTGCTGTCTGCCATGCGTTCTACCACCGGAACCAGGCAGAGGGGCAGTCAATTAACAACTACACTGCCGCCCTCCGACAGGCTGCAATGCACTGCGAGTTCCAAGACTTAGACGATGCCCTAATGGATCGAATCGTCTGCGGGGTCCAGGACATCCGTCTGCAACGGTGTCTCCTTGCCAAGCTGGACCTAACGCTGCAGAAAGCCATTGAGGAGGCCGTAGCCTTGGAAGCTGCTGAACGCTTCACCCAGGAGATCCGCAAGGCCAGCAGCCCGCGTCTTGCTAGGAAGCCAGTTCCAATGCATCACAAAGAGGCCAGCAGTGATGAGGCATCCTCCAGTGAAGACGATGACGTGCACCAGACAAAGCGGGAGCGCAGGAAGTTCCAACAGAAGTCCAAGGGCCAATCGGAATGTGCCGGCTTCAGAAGGTACCATTCCCGTGCCAAGTGTCGATTCAGAGACGCCATCTGTCGGACGTGTTCCAGAAGGGGCCACATCGCTAAGGTCTACCAGTCGGCTCCGTCTGACACCCCCCCTTCACCGACTCGCAAGTCCAGGTCTTCACTCCAGTCTGCCAAGGAAAGCTGTTTCATAGAATCATAGAATCATAGAGTTGGAAGAGACCACAAGGGCCACCGAGTCCAACCCCCTGCCAAGCAGGAAACACCATCAGAGCACTCCTGACATATGGTTGTCAAGCCTTTGCTTAAAGACCTCCAAAGAAGGAGACTCCACCACACTCCTTGGCAGCAAATTCCACTGTCAAACAGCTCTTACTGTCAGGAAGTTCTTCCTAATGTTTAGGTGGAATCTTCTTTCTTGTAGTTTGGATCCATTGCTCCGTGTCCACTTCTCTGGAGCAGCAGAAAACAACCTTTCTCCCTCCTCTATGTGACATCCTTTTATATTTGAACATGGCTATCATATCACCCCTTAACCTTCTCTTCTCCAGGCTAAACATGCCCAGCTCTCTTAGCCGTTCCTCATAAGGCATCGTTTCCAGGCCTTTGAACATTTTGGTTGCCCTCCTCTGGACACGTTCCAGTTTGTCAGTGTCCTTCTTGAACTGTCTCTCACCAACTGCCGCTGCCCGTCTGGAACCACAATTGGCCAAACCAACTCGCCTATGCGACACAAGCTGAACGTCACGGTGCCCATTGAAGGAGCTCCATGTGACATGGAGATCGACACCGGGTCTGCCCTGTCCATCATGTCTTGGAGCACCAACAAAAGACTGGTACCCAGAGTGTCCAAAAGGCAACTCGACTCTCACCGCGTACACCTGAGAGACTACCAGGGAAACAACATTCCCGTGGTAGGCGTCGGCCAGTTCCGAATCGCCTTCAAGGATTTTTCAGGCCTGCTCCGACTGGTGGTGGTCAAAGGTCAGCGGCCAAGCCTCCTAGGGCTAGATTGGTTTGATGCCCTCGGCCCGGAAGTCACCGGCATCAACTGCATCTCTAACGCAGAGACTGAGAGTCTGGTCAAAGACTTTGCCGAGGTTTTTGACGGCACTTTGGGGCAATATACAGGTACGCCCATCTCCTTTAGCCTTGATCCACAAGTTGCCCCCATCAAGCTAAAGCCACACCGGGTTCCCTTTGTTCTCAAGGCTAAGGTAGATGAACAACTGGACAAGCTGATCGCCCAAGGAATTTTGGAGCTGGTTGACCATGCCAAGTGGGAAACCCCCATCATCATGCCTGTCAAGCCGGACGGGTCGGTGAGAATCTGCACCGACTACAAGTGCATGATCAACAAGGCCCTTCAGCAGCACGCTTATCCGGTTCCTGTTGTCCAACACCTGCTGCATTCCCTGGGTGAGGGTAAGGTCTTCGCTAAGCTGGACCTTGCCCAAGCCTATCAACAACTGCCCGTTGATGATGCCACCACTGAAGCCCAGACGATCGTCACCCACCGAGGGGCATTCCGTTGCCACCGGTTGCAGTTCGGGGTGAGTGTGGCTCCTGGCCTTTTCCAAAGCCTTATGGAGCATCTCCTGCAAGGGCTTCCGGGCGTGGTACCGTATTTTGATGATGTCTTGGTATCCGCAGACTCACACCAGCAGCTGTTCGAGCGCCTCCGCGCCTTGCTGACCAGGTTCCAGGAGGCCGGGCTCAAGGTAATGAGGGAGAAGTGCCAGATCACCGTTCCATAGGTGGAGTTCCTGGCCTATCTTATCGACGCCTCCGGCCTTCACCCAACCACATCCAAGATCCGCGCTATCCAGCAGGCCCCCATCCCAAAGAACAAGACGAGTTGCAGGCGTTCCTGGGACTGCTGAACTTTTATAACATGTTCCTGCCCCACAAAGCCACGGTGGCTGAGCTTCTTCACCGACTCCTCAGCATGAAGACGCCTTGGTCCTGGGGTCATCGGGAGATGGCCGCCTTCAACTCGGTCAAGGCTCTCCTTTCATTGGACAGTGTGCTGGTACAGTACAGCGAAGCCAGGCCGCTGGTCCTTGCCTGCGACGCCTCACCTTTTGGCATCGGTGCTGTCCTTAGTCACCGTTTTCCAGACAGAAGAGAAGCCCCGCTCACCTATTTTTCCAGGACGCTATCTCTGACTGAACGGAATTACAGCCAGCTCGACAAGGAGGCACTGGCACTTGTGGCTGGAGTGAAGAGGTTCCATGAATACCTCTACTGCAGGACTTTTGACCTCATCACCGACCACAAGCCGCTCCTGGGCCTCCTCGCCGGTGATCGACCAACTCTACCAGTCCTCTCGCCACGCATGCTGTGATGGACTGTTTTCTGGCTGCCTACCACTACCGGCTCGTCCATCGCCCAGGGAAATCGATGGGCCATGCCGACGCCCTCAGCCGTTGCCCTCTTCCAGCGTTTGTGGAAGACCCGGCTCCTGCTTCATCGCTCCTCCTGATTGAGGATCTTCCAGCAGCGCCTGTATTGGCTGCCACTGTGGCCTCTGCATCTGCCCAAGATTGCACCATCAGCCGTGTGCTCAACTGGGTGTGGAGGGTGTGGCCACAAGGGCCTTTTGCATTGGAGTTCCAGCCGTTCGCAACCAGACAACACGAACTCTCGGCTCATTGCGGCTG